AGGATTAGGCCCAGGGCTGCGGGGCTTTTGGGGGACAAGGTGCTGGGACGGGGGGCAGCTCCTCGGCGTGGGGGCAGCCAGGCTGTGGCCAGTGCGAGGACAAGGACGAGGACACGGACACCAACCACCCAGGCAGAGCTGGCCCGGACGAGGGGGCCGTATCTTACACACATACATAAATACAGTTCGGAGGGGGAAGCTGGTGGGGAAGGGGCTCTGTCACTCTCCGGAGGGTCCCACGCCAGTCGTGTCCATGGGGTCCTTCGTGAGCCACGTATGGGGCTCCCCGGGAGGGAGGCGGGGTGGCTCCCCCTCGTGTGGGGGGGCACCCTTCACGCCAGCAGCCGGGGCAGAGGGGTGTTTGGGGTGCAGTTGCGTTGGGTAGGAGGCCACCCGCCCCGGTGCGGGGCCGCTGGCAGGGCGTCCCCGTCCTGCCCCGTGGCACTTCTGGGTGCAAGAACCACACGCCGCCCCCTCATAGCACCTGTATGTCCCAGATCTGCGTGGGTCTTTCCTCAGCCACGTCCCAAATGATGGCGTGGTCCCGGTCATAGGATCGGCCACCTGCGGAGCGAGGGGAGGGTTTCAGGAGGGCAGACCCCGCTCCTGATGGCGGTGAAGGGGTGGGTGCTCCATCTCACGGCCAAACACCCCGTTTTTGGGGGTTCCTGAGAAAGCAGCCCCTGTGCCGGCGCCAAGGCCTCACCCTTTATATCAAGGATCATGTCCTCGAACATCTGGCTGTGGATCCGTCCCTGAGAATCGATGCTCCAGGTCTGACGCGGCATCCGGGTCTCAGACCACAGCACAGCCTTCGCGCCCTTCCCGGCTGGCCCGATGACCTGCAGGCTCATGTTGGGGGCCACCTGCAAGGAGCAGCGGTGGCCGGGTCAACCCGCTCCTCTCCATCGCCTCCGCCCGGCTCAAAGGCTTGGAGCTGGGAGGGGTTTCCCTGTAAATGCAGCTGGTTCTGGAGTGGGACATGGAAAACTTCTCAGTGAGAAGTGAGGATGATTAGGGTGATGAAAACCCCTCAGGGGAGGCAGAGATGCCTTCACATCTCCAGAGGAGACCTGGGGAGGAGAGAATCAACTGATCTTTGGGGACAAGGCTGAGGTCAGATGCTGGGAAAAGCCGTTATAAACCCTAAAAGATCGCTGTGGGGTGGGGAGTACCCCAGCAGGAGTCCTGCCAGGGGCTCCCCTGGTCCCCTCCGCGGCGCTGGCTGTCACATGTGAGCCCTGACCTGGTTTTTCATCAGCCCGTCCTCATAGTACCAGACAGAGCTGCTCTGCTCGCTGAGGCTGGAGACCACCACACGTCCTGCTTTCATGTCTTCCACATCGTCGGGGACGGAGAGGTAGAGCTCCAGCTCCCTGCTCCTGAGGCGGAAATAGATCCGTCTCTGGAAAGAGAGAAACCTTTTTCGCACCGAAAAGCCCTGCTGCCTGCACCTCCGGCCCCACACGCCGCGGCTGGCCGAGGAAGGACCTCACCCAGCTTGTGGCTTTGGGAAGGGTCCCCTGGGGCAGCTGCCTGGAGGGTCCTCCTCATCCCCCCGGGGAGGTCCCTGCCTCTCCCCAGGGTGATGGCTGTGGCCCTGGCCTGTCTCTCGTAGCTGGCACGGGCACGGCTCTCCCCGCCGGCATGCTGGGGCGTTTTGCAAGGCGCCTGCCGACGGGGAGCGTTTCGCCATTGCAGCGGCCACTCCGAGGGCGGGGGACAGGGATCTGGGGGTGACGGTGCTGGGCTGGTGGTGCCTTTCACGGGCCAGAGCTGTCAGCAGCGTGCTGCTGCTCTCCAGGCCGTGCCCCGCTGCCTCCCCCAGCTCACCCGGAGCCGCTACCACACCTTCCTCCCAGCCATCGGGACTGGCAGCTCTTCAGCTCCATGTGAGCCGCCTGCCTCGGGGTTTTGGGGATCACCTCCCCGAGTGCCAGCGCCCCACCCCGTCCCAGCACTCACCTGGCGGATGGGGTAGAGGGAGCCCACGTGCTGGAGCCCGCTGTACGTCAGCCAGTTGGTGATTTCGGTGCAGTCCAGCAGCCACTGGCGTCCTCGGAAGTCACCGTGTTCACACAGAACCCAGCTGCGGGGGACGGGACGGGATGGGATGGGATGGGATGGGATGGGATGGGATGGGACAAGATGGGATGGGAAGTGTCGGAT